TTTGCCTTTAATGGTACCAATTTGAGATTTATCAATGAATTGGGTATTATCTAGTGACAGTTATGCCCAGTCACTCACTGTGTTGTGTCTAGTTATAGTAAAATAAAAACAATATTGGAGCCAGATGTGGTGACCAGGTGGCCTCTGAGGCCAGCCTGAGCTTTCTGGGCTACATAGCAAGCCCTGTCTCTGAATGAATGAACAAATGGAGCAGAAGAATGTGTTCAGAGGCAGATAGCCATCCCTATAATATTTGCTAGAAAAACAAGCTTTATTCACTTTCCAATAGATAATAATTGAGCCCTGTGCAGGGTACCAGAGGCACTGGATGGAGAAAACTTTTCTCCCCTGAATTGTGTGACACACGGGATTTAAAGCAAAAATAGCTGTCTTTAAAGTAAATATGTTGAACAGACTTCCACTATCAAGGTTTTGTTTACTCTGGGCATTTCATGGCAAGCTAAAGGGAAGTTTCCTACAGTGATACCCATCTTCCTGAGAGATTGGTATTTTTAAATTTTTCTCTGTTTTGAATTTTTTTTTTTTCAGTTCTCTTTAGCATGTGCAACTTCTCTTCTGTGTAGTTAGTAATTGGCCACCTCTAATTGAGCTTCTTTGTCTTGATTTGTAATAAGGTTGGCTCCATCTTTTCCTATGCAATATGTGGTTAGGGCTTTCTGCCTTTTCCTGTATGATAGAATTTACCTGTGATTTTAGGAGCCAGAGAGCTATATATAGTTTTTGTTTCCATTAACTGCACATCCAGAATCAAGCTCTGCCACCTATGACTATGGAAGAACCTGAGGAAACACCGTGGCACGGTTCAGCATTCGTAGTCTAACAGGATTGTGTGTCTGTCGGATGCATAGTGTGTGCAAAGCATTTTGGGGGGCCTGGTAAACCACACGCAGGTCCTGCTTTTAAGGGTGCTTTCTGTAATGCTCCACACCTGGCTTTAGCCATGAGAAATTCATGTGTGGTCTTCTGGTCTTTGCAACAAAAGAAGAAAGGGCATATGTGATAAATTGGTAGAACTAAAATTAGCATCCTTTCTCTTCATTTGCAGCCCCGAGAGAAGGGCAGGATGCGTTTTCACAGGCTGCAGAATGTGCAGATTGCCCTCGACTTCCTGAAGCAGCGACAGGTGAGATCATCCCATGCTTTCCCCATTTCACCAGGAAATGTTGGCCTTGAGGTCCTGTTCAGGGATATTCTTGTGACTCTCAGAAGCCCTGAGTAAATGATAAATCTGACTGACCCATTCTGAATCTTAACTTGTTCATGAGCAGTTGTGTTATGGTTGGACAAGTCATTTAGTAGACATTACATAGAATTTGTGTCCTTGAGGGACAGTGTTCATGAAAAAGATGCTAAAGGTGGCATCTTGTGGGCCACCTTATCCAAAGTAAAGATAAAAAACAAACCAGGGAAGAAAAATGGGGGGAAAAATGTAGCATAAAGTGCCATATTGTCATGAAAACAACATGAGGGAGTGGCCTGGATTATTGGGTAGACATCACCTGAGAAAAACATCTTAGCCTGTAAGCAGTGCTGACTTCAGGGAATGGCTTTAATAGAGTAGAAGAGTATTTATAGTGGATCTACATATAGGAGGAAGAAAGGTTTTTCCCTTCCTAGATAAGGGGGCGGGGAGGAAACAACACATTTTTAGATATAGGAGGAGAAGCAGTGGAGAGAGTTAAGACTGAAAATGAGTGTGAAGAGTGTTAAGAATCAGTGGTTGTTTCCTTTATTAGGTGCCCTAAAGACCTAGTAGTCCGGGTTGTTCATGTTACAGGTAAAGAGACTGACAGCTGCAGTGACCTGCCGCAAACCATAGACAGATTGGAGCTGGGCTTTAACTTGGATTTCCTGCATGTGGCTTAGCATTCCTCCCGCTGTCCTTGCTGGTTTCTACACACAGTGATTTCTAGGGATTGAAGGATGAGAACGAGAGCACAATTGATGTTATCTTTGAGGAGAAAAGAAAGTGCCTCTTGTTCTGTGATCCCATGAGAAGGACAGAGGAAGAGTACAGACACGCAGATGGCTGGTAGGGAGGAGGGTGGGTGAGGGAGCCGGAGGGTCCCTTTCCTTAGGGTGACCTGCATGGAAAAGGTCTGGTATAGCTAGGGGTCGCCACACACTGGCAGCGGTCAACATGACATTAAATAGCATGCACGTTTTTGGAATCAGATCATTTTTGTTACTCTTGCAGCATTTCTCCTTAACTTGGGCAGTTGTCGTTGTGCATGCTTACATAGTAATGTTCTAATGTAACGCTGCTCATTGTTATTTCTGTTTGCTTCAGTACAGTGTAGGTTCTGTGAAGACAGGGAGCATGATCTTAACATTTTACCTTTAGCATCCATCATAATAAATGTTGCATAATTGACAGTTAAAAGTTTGTTGAAGGAAACTAATGAAGAGTTGTGGGAGAAGTGGAGGCTGTAGGAATGTTCAGGGTACTGAAGAAGCAGCTTAACATGTCTGTGTGCAGTTAAAGCAACCTCGCGGGGGCCTTAGTGGATAAAGTAAATTGACAAGAATCGATTAGCTAAAAGTGTTAATAAGGACAAATGGTCAATTTGATTACTGCTATAGAATGAAAATCTGGGCAAGTAAGAGCCTGGGACTCAGAGAAGGCTGAGTCCCAGAGAGGGTCTCCAGAGCAATTCTTGCTGGGGGTAAGGGTGAAGTTGTAGCTGTATAGTTAGTTATCCAAAGTAGAGTAAAATGAAAACCTTCAGACCTGAGAAGGCAGGCAAGTTGTGCCTATAGGGTGATATTTGAATCATCAACATGAGTGCTAAAATTGTCAAGAAAGGTGGCAGATGGAGCCAGGTGTGGTGACACATGCTTGTAATCCCAGGACTTGGAGGCTGAGGTAGGAGGATCTTGAGTTCAAGGTCAGCCTAGGCTACAGAGTGAGTTCAAGACCAGCTTGAATTGCAGAGCAAGACCCTGTCTAAATTGAAAAAGAAGGAACGAAGGAAAAGAAGGAAGGAAAGGGGCCGGGGATATAGCTCAGTGGTACAAGCACCTGCTTGGCAAGTACAGAGTCGTGAGTTGGATTCCTGGTACCAAAAAAAGAAAAAGAAAAGATGGCAGATGGTAAGGTAGGAAATAAGAACAGGAGCTAGGTGCTGAAGTTATGGAGGGAATGTCAGTAGATATTGGAAGGTGGTCTGGCCAGGGAGGTTGATTTCCCAGCCAGAGGGGAACCCTTACGGAGGTAGACTGAGGAGTGTGGACTGGGTTGGTAGTGCCCACCTGGCATCTCTGGATTGTTAATGACTGATGACCACTAGAAAGACTGAATTCTCAGGCTAAAAGACAGATTCTCCCATCCCCATGCACCAGCCCCTATCCCCAAGGTACAGGAGACTGAGATACAGAAAAGGGAGAGAATTAGCTGAGAATAGTAGTGTACTGGAGAAGTAAGATTTCTGAGAGATCATGATTTTTTTTTTTTTTTCTCGTTGAGACAGGGTCTCACTATTATTCCAGGCTGGCCTAGAACTCACAGTGATCCTTCCTGCTTTAGCCTCCTGAGTGCCAGGATTACAGGTGTGCACCACACACCCAGCCACAAGGGTTTAGTTCAGGGAAGTGATAAAGGGAGGACAAATGAAAGACAGTTTGTCATAGTTGAACATGAAAGTATACATGTTTTAAAACTCAGACTACACCAAAAAGTAATTTATTCCATAAAGGTATGACAGAAAAGGTGAACAAGGTGGAGGTAGATGTGAGGTAGTTTACTAGGACATTTCTGATTTTAAAATCCCATGTCCCAAGCACCCAAACCCCTCAGTTTCTAGCACACAGGCACAGCTGATGGTACTAGCGGGAGGGAGAGCCTTTGTGTCTGGACACCATGTATTGTTGGAATGCGATTTCAGGAGTAAAGTAAGAATGGGAGGAATGGTAGGTAGGGATAGGTGTGACAAAGGAGGGAAGCTGGAGGTGAGAGCAGGCCTGACTGGTGAGGGGCCCTCCCTTTTTTTTGAAACAGGTCTTGTTAGGTAGTCCAGGCTGGCCTTGAACTCTTGAACTCCCAAACTTCCAGTGATCCTCCTGCCTCAGTCCTGGAATTACAGGCATGCACCACCATGTCCAGCTCAAGGGATTTCTCTTAACTTTATTTATTTATTTTTTTTATTTTAAAGAATAAAAGAAGGATAACATAATAATAGGGGGGACTTAGCAAATTACAGACAAAATGGTAGGAAATTATCAATGGTTATCGTTTTACATATTATTATCTACAAAATAGTTTCTCAGGAAAACA